GGGAAATGGCTCAGTAAAATAAGTGCTTCCCTGGCAAGCACAAGGGCCTGAGTTCAAAACCCCGGTTCCACCAAAAAAAGGAAACATTAAGAAAGTCATGATCAATTGCCTGACTTACTTGATGTGTGTACAGGATATGGAGGTCAGGAAGGCTATCTGCAGTACAGTCATCTTCAGGGTTTAGCTTTCTTCCAGAGTATGAAGGGACACAGGTGATCTCCTTGGCGAATTCCACAGGACAATACAGATGCCCAAGCTGTTTTTCATAGAGCGACAGGGCTTCTGTCAAATTGACACAGTTCTCCTGTGTAAAATATTTCCCATCCTGTTTCAGTACTTTCATTGAGAGGTCAATAATCAGTCTGAGTGAGCCAGGGAGATAGCTCAGTAGAATAAGTGCTTGCCTGGCAAGTACAATGGCCTGAGTTCAGTCCCCTATTCCACCAAAAAAAAAAAAAAAAAAAAAAAAAAACCCAAAAAAATCAGTCTGAGAAACTGCCATGTGGAATCTCCTTCTGGAGATGTGGAGATAGGAACAGCAGTCAGATCATTAATCACATAATCAAACTCTTTCCCTTTTTTGGTGTACCTCTTCAGTACTGAAATACGTTCTTCTATTAGAACCTGACAGCAGTCTCCTTTGGGATTGTCTAAGATGTCACTGCACATTTTCCGCATGCATTTGTTACATGCATCAATCGCCATTTGGTCAATCTCTACCATGGTGACCATCTTTGGTTTCAGTTTGACTATTTCACATTGTATTCCTCCATCTCCACCACTGCCCATGATGACCCGGGTATATACCAAATCACTCTCTGCCAAATTAACATCCCCACTAAGAATGAGAATATTTCCAAACTGCTTTCAGTGTAGAATTGTAATGTTCTGATAAGGTGAGTCTTCATCATATACCACTTCATCTATGTCATACTCAACCAGATGCCCATCAGCTGTAGGCCAGTACCTGCCGATGGCCTCTCCTTGAACTATGGTTGGCAAACATTTCACCCGCCCAATACCAGCCTGACTCAGTTCTTTCATTCTTCTTTTTTTTTTTTTTAATTTTAAAAGCTTCTTTTT